CGCCAGGCACAGTGGGGGCCTCGTGACCCCAGGTTCCTTCCCACGTCTACTGGGGGGTGGTCACTGCTCTGCTGGACAGTCGTGAAATATTCTGAACCCCGTCTCCCTGCCTCGCCCCCCGCCAGGCCCATCTCCAGGGCCCGTGTTCTAGGGCCCCACTGCCCAGCTTTGCTCCCTGCTTGGGGGGGGGGGGGGGGGGTGCCCTCCCTGCCCCCGAGGGCCCTCGGCGACCCTCGTGTGTAGCCAGTTCTTGGAGAGAACAGCCAGTCCGTGGGGTTCTGCCTCGCTCTGCCTTCAGGCTGGAGGGCGCTGGGAGTTGCGTCCAGCTCTGTGGCCGGGCCGTGGACCCCACCGCAGAACAGCCCGGGGAAAAGACGGTGACCGAGTGCGGAGCAGGCAGGATGGCCGGAGTCTGGCCCGGGCCAGGTTGGACCCTCCACGTGGGTCCCAGGTCACCTTGGGCAAGTCGCGCAGCCTCCGTGGGGGTCAGAGAGGAAGGACAGGGATCCCGAGGGCTGCTGAACGTGTCGCCCACGTTATGGGGTGCGGCCGGGGTGAAGGGAGAGGGTCTGCTCTTTCCTGGGGGAGGGGCAGCCTGGGCTGACCCCCTGTGCGGGCGGGGCGGGGAGCCAAGGGAGGCTCCCTGGGGGGCAGGACCCTCCCTGAGGCCACTGAGCTGGGCGGGCGGGCCGCAATGCGGTGGGGCTCCCGGGGTCCCGCGGCCACCACCCTGGGGTGGGTGTCTCACGGGAGGAGCCGGGGCTGCGGGCCGAGGTCCCTCCCTCACCTGGGGCCTCTGGTTCTCCAAGTCCTTCCCTCCGGGGCCCCCCTCCGTCCCCTGGGAAGGCCGGGCAGAAACCCGAGACTGAGCCTCGGCCCGGTTCAGGCGGCCGTGGGGCCCAGGCCTCTCCCTCCGGCCCTCCTTCCTCCTCCTCCCTCCTCCTCGGGAGCCAGCCCTGCGTTGCCATGGGGATGGCCGGCCAGGCGGGTCCTCCCCCCACCTGGCCTGGGGCGCGCACACCTGGTCAGCTCCGAGCCCGGGAGGGGGGCGGGCCGGGCCCCTTCCCCTTCCGCCCCCCCCCCCCAACCCCGCGGCGGACCCCGCTTTCTGGGAAACCCTGTCACAGTTTCCTCTGACCTCCGTTAACCCGGAGTCCGCGGCCCACAGAGGGAGGCCGAGTTCCGCCTCTGACCTGAGGCTTCCTGCCGGGGGCACACACCTCCACCCCGGCTGCTGGCTGAGCGCGCTCCTCCCAACTCCCCACCTTCCAGTAGGTTCTGGGCCACCTCTGCCCACATCCCTCCTGCCACACGGCATCCCCGGTTGTGGACGCGGGAAGTCTAGGCAGGGCTGCGGGGACGCAGACGAGGCAGGCGCTGACCTTTGCTGGCTGGGCGACCGTGGCCTCTTGGACCGTCGAATTGGGGAAGGGGTTGGGGCTGAATGAGGCTCCCCCCCTGGGCAGTGTCCCCTGGGGTGGGTCGACCCCTGCAGAGGTCGGCCTGGGCGCTCTGTGGGCCGAGCAGCATCCCGGGCTCCCGACCCCCTCCCCCCCATACCAGGAACACCTTGGTCATGACAACCACAGACGTCCCCAGACACCGCCCTGTGTCTCTTGGGGGGCAGGACTGCCCTAGGTGAGACTCCCTGGGTTAGGGGCCTCCACTGACCCCCCCCCCCCCAGGAGACTGCCTTCCACGATCACGTGACCACTGAGGTCCTGCGCCCCTTTAAATACACACACTGAGGGGCTCGGTCGCTGGAGCAGGAGCCTCGTGGTCTCGGGGTAGAGAGTTCGAGCCCCACGTGGAGCTGGCTTAAAAATAAATAATAAATACACACACACAGACGCACTGAGTGGGCGGGAGAGGGGGGAGTCACGCGGGGCTCACCCTGGCTTGCGCCGTCTGACCCCTCAGGGATCTACCCTGAGGTCTCGTGGGAGCAGGGCCCGGACTCTGCTGCTTTCCCAAATAGTTAACGGAGGGTCTCCCTCCCCTCACCCGCCGCTGGCCACCGCGGCCATTCGCGACCCTTCTCCGCGGGGCGCCCCGGGCACTACTGGGCAGCGGCCTCCCCGGCCCCACCTCCCGTGGGACAACCACAGGTGTCCCAGGCGTGGCCCTGTGGCCCCGGGTTGAGGGGCCGAGGTCATCCCCATGGAGAGCTGGGCCTGTGCTGCCCAACACCGCCCCGGGCTGCGGGTGGCACCGGCACGTGCCGGGTCTGAGATGTGCCGTGAGGGCAAAACACCTACCAGGTCCCCAAGACTTCGTGGCGGCGGGGGAGGGGGGAGGAGAACGTCAAAGACCACGCTGCTCGGGGCGCCTGGGTGGCGCAGTCGGTTGGGCGTCCGACTTCAGCCGGGTCGCGATCTCGCGTGATCTCCCGTGATCTCGCGTGAGTTCGAGCCCCGCGTCGGGCTCTGGGCTGACGGCTCGGAGCCTGGAGCCTGTTTCCGATTCTGTGTCTCCCTCTCTCTCTGCCCCTCCCCCGTTCATGCTCTGTCTCTCTCTGTCCCAAAAATAAATAAACGTTGAAAAAAAAATTAAAAAAAAAAAAAAAAAGACCGCTCATTCTCCCATAGGGGACACAAGGTAACACGGTGACATTCTGCCTACAGTGGGGCCAATCAAACGGACCCTGCAGTTACCTTCCCGTTTGTTTCCTGGGCATGAAGCGCGGCTGAGAGGTTAGATCTCCCAACTGCGTGACGTGCACGGGGCCACCGGGACCCCGCACACCTCCTTCTGCTCCGCCTTGCGGGCCCTGGGGCTCCTCACACCGGGAAGGGGACGCGGGCCACAGGGCTGGACGGAGCGGGACCGGAGGCGCAAACGCCACGGGCAAGAGCCCGGCTCTCCGGGGACGTAGAGGACGGCGCGCGTGCTCGTGTGCAGTACGGCTCCTACGGAGGAAGACATCCCGCCGGAAGAAGCTTCCACACCAACGGGCCCCCCGCTCGGGATTTCCTTCCTCCAAACCAAGCGCCAAAAACCAAAAGTGGAGAAAACACGAAACCAACGAAGGGAGCGCCCAACGCGCAAGATCCCAAAACGATTCCTTCCGTGACTGGTTTGTTTTTGGACCACGAGGTCAGACAGCGGGGGTGTCAGGGGTCACCAGCGTCGCCCCCGTGTGTCCACGGGAGCCCTGGACACGGAGGGGGTGTCCTTGTGCCGCTCCCGTACGGGCTGTGCCAAGTTCTCCGGGAGGAGCCAGGGGCCACGGCTGCGTGAACGGCTCCGTCTTGACGGGCCACGGACAGGCCTGGAAGCACCTGGACACCACCTCCTGCCCGGACCCCCAAGCCAGCGGCTCTTAAGTGTTCGAGGAGCCTGTGCCCTTGCAACAGGGACTGTCACCAGGTCTGTCTGGCGGCCAGTGGGGACTCTGGGCGCCTGCAGGGGACATGGGTCGGGGAGGGGACACTTAGGTCCCCAAGGCTCGGGCGAGTCCCCAGCTTTCCAGGAGCCTGGTCTGGGGCAGATGGAGAGAGAAAGTGCCAGTTTCTCTGGTTTGGCCTCGGGTCACTGCAGAGGGGAGGTCTCAGGGCGGCACCCACCCCTCTGGGGTCCTGACCCTGGGGTCGCCCCGCTTTTGCATCGGCCTCCCTCAGCTTGTCGTCGACCCTGCGGGCCTCACCCCACCGACTCCAAATCCCCCCCAAGCCCTCGGGACCCGGTCTCTCAGTCCTTGAAAAGGGCAAGCCGTTAATGGGGGCTGGCCAGCCGCAGCCGGGCTGGGCGTGTGCGACACAAGGCCACAGAGGCCGCGGGTCAGACGCCCGCTGCCCGGATGCTGACCATGTTCCCACCAGGCCCCACAGAGCGACACCGGTCGACTTCCGCTTATCTTTATTCTCCTCCCGACCAGGTGAGACTTTGGGGGATCTGGGAAGTGGAGGACCCTGAAAGCCGGTCGAAGGAGCCAGCAACCCGTCTCTCTGGTGTCCACAGGAGACGAGGGCTCCTCCTGCGATTCCCCGAAGCTGAGCGTCGGCTCGTCCCAGCCCGCGGGCAGCGTCCAGGGGGGCCCCCGGCTCCCAGCTCCGTCTTCTCCAGGGCTCCGAGGACAGAAAGTCTCAGAAGCGGCTCCAGGGGCAGCGTGGCTAGGCCCCGACGGACGAGGAACTGGGACCACCTCCCTCTCCCAGCGGCTGCGGCTGACCCCGCGGACGGCCCGAGTGACCTGCCCTGGGCAGTCACTCCCGAATCTGGGAAAGCGGAGGGGACGCGAGGAGCCACCTGGTCGCATCTGGCGGTGCGCAGGCTCGGGGACGGCACAGGCCTCGTCTGCTGGCTCCGCCGACAGCTTGGAAACCCGCCACATCCTTTCTGCCGGGTGCCGGCTCGCTGCCGTGAAGTCAGAAGTGTCTGTCCCCTGAGCACGGGGCGGGGCTGAGCGGGTCCCTCCTGAGGCGCAGGTCACGGGACGCTAAGTGACAAGAGGCGGTGGGGAGGGCAGAGGGGGCGACCCCACGGCCACCTCCAGGGACAGTGCTGGGCGTCGGGGGGAGGGGGCGGGGGCGCCCCTCCCTGTCTGGTGAAGGACGCCGGTGTCCAGAGGTCCCCTCTGAGGCCGCATCGCTTGGGAACAGAGTGAGGCCGGCTCCTGGTGCCACCCCCACCCCCTCCTCCCCCGGTGGGCGGCGGGTGGAGGGCTCCGGGCTGGCGCTGCCTCCCTGGGCGGCTCTCCCGCCCTGGGACTGGGCCAGGGGCTGACCCCCCAGAACAAATGGAACAAGTACGATGGGCACAGTTTGCTTTTTCTTTCCCTGTTTTGTTTTGAACCTAAGGAAGCAGGTCTGAGAAGACGCCAGGAGCAGGGCCGCCCTCCCCGGAGACGGGCGGGCGGGCGGGGGAGAGCGGGGCGCCGGGGGGACCCCGTCACACGGCGGTGCGTGTGGGCGTGCTGGGCTGGTTGAGCCGCAGCGTTTTACACAACCAGCCGGCGAAGTCCACTTCTTCCACCTCGGACCGCTTGATGAAGGTGTGGTTCTGGAAGGGAAGGAGGACCCCGTCAACGACCCGGCCCGGCGGGCCGTCCGGATGCGCCCGGGACGCGGGCAGGAGGCCGCTCCGTGCCCGCTCACTCGGCCCCAGGTGCTCCCCTGGCACCGTCCGCGGGGGGTTGAGCGGCACCCCGGCCCCAGCGCCCGCGAGCGTCTCCAGGCACCTCCCCGTGTCCCCCGGGGACGGTCACCCCTGGGTGAGAACGTCTGATCTGGAGCGACGGGGGCCTCTGGGAGGACAGTGAAGTCCCCGACACGTTCTGTCTGCTGCGGCAGCCACTGGCCACGGGAGGCTCCGAGGCCTTTACCCGTGGCTCCTGTGGCCGAGGAGCCAAACCCAGGCCTTCTGTTTCGGTTCAAGTAATTTAGAAAGCTGCACGCGGCCGGCAGTTCCTGCGCAGGACAGCTCAGTACCCGAGGTTCCTGGTTTGCAGGCCGGGGGGTGGGGGTGGGGGTGAGCGACGCTTTCCCCACGGGCCGTGCTGGGAGGGGTGGGTCCCGGGGGCTTGGGGTCCCCGGGAGCAGGTCTGGTCTCCTCACGCGACACCTGGACCCCCAGCTGCTGCCTGCCCTGTAGGCAGGGGGTAGGAACGGGGGAGAAGGGAAGTTAAAAAGTCGGTCCCACAGCAGGGTGTAAGTGGGACAGAGAGTCCCGAGGGGCGCCGCAGGGGCCCCGCCATCCATCAGTTTCTGTTTCACAGATTTTCGTGTATCTTACAACGAACAGACGTTTGTGACGTCACACGTGCCTCTAACACACGTCACTGGGACACCTCCCGCGTCGGAAGACTTTCCGGAAGAGTCCCCGCGCGCAGACCCTTCCCGCCTGGCGTTCTCGGTGGCGCCCAAGACCAGGAGACGCTGGTCGTCACCAGAACGAATAGAGGATGCGGGACTGGGCAAGGTGTCTGGGGACACGTCAGAGGAGGGGCTGAGGCGAGACCCCGGGAAGCAGCCAGGCCAGCTGAGAGGGGCCCGGGACACGTTCCCTGGGGAGAAGCACTGTCCTTTGCAAAGGTCCTGAGGTGGAGGCTAACTGGAAGAAGCGGGAAGGCTGAGGCTCCCTTACTGGAAAGACCACGTTCCGATAATTGAGAGACGCTCGTGTTTTGACGCTCGGTCCCAGAGACCGAGAACCAGCAGGTGTGACCCTCACGGTCTCGTGTCGTGGAGGTGCCCGAAGAGCAGGCCTCCCCAGGCTTGGCAGGGTGGCTGCGGGTGAGGAGGCCCGGCGGCAGGGGGGGGTCAAATTCACAGACAGAAATGCCCCAGGTCAATGGGCTGGCAGCCCCACCCGCCCCCACCCTGCCGGGGGGAAGGGGAGTTGACGCCCACCTGGCTTCTCGAGGACACGGGACGCCGCACAGGGAGGCCGGCGGCCCTCGGGTCTCCCCGACCTGTGGGGCCCGCCGGGCCCAAGGCGGGAGCCGCACAGAAGCGTGAGGGCCCCGGCACTCCCAGGCGCGGACACCCGGACCACGGGCACGGCTGGGCCATCCCGCTCCTCCGGGAGCCAAGGGCGCCACGGCTGCTCGGAGCAAAGGAGACCCGCAGGGGACCCACACGCGCCCCGAGGAGCGCCCCCGGGGCCCGGAACCCGCGGCCTCACTCACCGTGAGCGTCTTCAGGTCGGCTCGCTCCGCTGGGTTCTTAATGAGGCTGGAGAGGAGGACAGGGGGTGGGAAGACAAGGCAGGGCCGTTAGCCGGTGGCCGCGGAGACCTGCGTGCGGAGCCGGGGTGGGTCAGCCCGGTCCCCACGCCTGGCCGGTCCGAGGCCTGGATGCAGCAAGGCACAGAGTCTGCTCTGCTTCCCCCTTGCTGGGAGGGCACGACCCCCGGGGACGGAAGGGCAAGAGGGATGGGGCGAGGCCGTGGGGACGCCCCCGCTGCCGCTCCGTCAGGCCCAGCGGCGATGCGGCTACACTGCTAACGAACGTCCCCAATCTGGGAGTCCCAGTGTCAAAATGGAACTTTTTCCTTCAGAAAAGCAGAACTGCCCCTAAGAACCGTTGCTCAAACCAGCCTGAGGCCAAACGGTGGCTGTTCAAACACAAAAGAAAACGCATCGGGTACAGAAGCACTGACATGTCACTGGATTTGAGCTGCAGCATGCTGGCCAGCGGTCGTGCAAAGGGCCAGTGGTGGCTTTGCCACCAGGAGCGGGTGTGCTGCTGTGTGCGACGCCCTGCCGGCCGCTCATCCTGATGTGCAGGACGGCCCTGAGGGTGGGGGCGGCCCCGGGCCCCCTTCCTGCTCTGGAGCCTGTGCGCCCCGGGCCCGGGCTGACGCGGCAAGAAAAGGTGGCCGCTTGCCAGAAAGCGACTGGGAAGGCTCACGTGGAAGATGGGGCAGTTACGGGCTTGAGAGGCTAGGAAACGGCGGTGCTTGCTGGTGGAAGGTGAGGCATCATTTCCAAACGGCCCGTGATCCTCATCTGCTCTAGGGGCGAGATGGGGCCACCAGCTGGATACCACGACTCAGCAGCCTCGAAAGGGAACCCATCTGGGTTCTCGGGTGAGCTCCAGGTGCCCCCCAGGCACGGCCACCCACCGGCAGCGCCCATCGGTCCCAGCAGAGGGGCCCGGCCCCGGACCAGGAAGGAAGTGCACATCTGGGTCGGTGGCCAGGGTGTGGGCGGCCATCCCGGGAGGCAGGCGGGGCCCCTGGCGGCCTGGCATCTCGCCCCGGCCCGCCCCGAGACCGTGCTGGAGGCGGTGGCACCTTACCATTTATTTACAAACTCCTGGAAGTCCTGGGTGAAGACACCGCTGGGCAGCTTGGGAGGTGGCTGTGGGCGGACAGAGAGGTGGGGGTTAGATGCTCAAGGATGGTTCTGGAATCACGGGGAAAGGCGCCTGCCAGTCCCGCGTCCGCGGGGACAGCACAGCACTTTTCGGGGACCCTCAGAAGGCACCGCCCTTGGCCCCAGTCCTTTCACGTTCATTGCTAGAGAGGCACCCCTCCCCACCCCGTCTTCCAGCGGCTTCCCCACCCGCCCTGCCAACTCGGCCAGGCTCTTCAGGGCTCTCTTTGGAAAGGTCTGGCTTCAGGATCACAACTGGTTGTGGGGGGAAAGGACAGGGCCCACCCCCACTTTACAGACGTGCGTCGTACTGTCTGGGCCACCTGTCTCCAGCAGGGGGTTGGGACCACCGGGGGGGGGGGGGGCAGCTCGTTCCAGGTTCGGGCCTGGAAGCTGGGGAAGCCAGGACACAGGCGCCTGGGTGGGGACAGCTGTGTGGGGGGCTAAGCCCCTGTCAGGGAAGGCTGTGGGCCAACGGTCCCGGTGAAACCCAGCAGGGGTGGGAGGACAGACGTGCTCGCTGGGCCCGGGCGTGGCTGCCAGGTGCAGGGCTGTGTCGCCAGAGCCAGCCCGTCCTGTTCTGTCATCACTGACCCTGCTCTGAGCTGCTCACTGGACGCCCAGCCCTGGACCGAGCCAGGGCCCCAGGCAGCCTGGCCGCCCTGTTTCTCCGCCCTGACTCAAAAGGGCCACCGAGAACACGCTGCGGCCCACGCAACGCCCAGGAAGGGTGGCCTGACCGAGCTGGGAGGGCGGGCCTCGGGGTCAGGCCCTACTCAGCCCTTTCCCGGCCCGAGGAGCCGCCCCCGTCCGTGCCCGCGGCTCACTCGTGTGTATGAGGGAAGCGGTCCCGCCACCTGCCCCCCGCGACTGGGTCACTTGGGCAAATCCAAGCCAAACGGCTTACCCCGCCCCCGGGCAGCCGGGCCGGGGGCTCCGGGTACGCACCTCATTCACAATGTAGTCCAGCAGCTCGAAGATGGCCATGGCCGGCCGGCTGTCCGTCCCGTGGCCTGCAGGGGCAGAGACAGACCCAGGGGTGAGGCGGGCGTCCGCTGAGCACCCTTCCCCCCGACGCCGGCCTGAACCAGAGGCGGCGGCCCGGCCGTGCCCCCGGCTACTGCGCCTGCCTCCCTGGCAAAGCGGCTTCTCTCCTGAGCCTCCCGTGACTTAACAAAACAAAATAAGATGAGACGCCAAAACGAACAGGAGTGTTTTTTGAGAAGTCACACATTTGGCACGGTGCTGCCTCCAGGCTGTGCCAAAGTCACAGCCCCTGCTTTCTAGCGCACAGGCAGGGGGTGGGGGGTGACCACGAACAAGGACGGCAGCGTGACCTTGCTCGGAGCCGTGGGTGAAGGCGGCATCAGGCCCCAGACGCCGCCCAGGACGGATGAGCGGCTGGGGGTAGCTGACCCTTGTCTTTGGCCCAGCTGGCCAGGGCCAGGTTTGGCCGCTGGACTTTCGCCTCCTGTCCCCTGTCCTGAAACGGGCACGCGAGCTGGGGCTGGGGGAGGCGCTGGCAGGCCGAGGCGGCCTGGCACGACACCCCCTGCCGGGACGGGGCCTCGGCGGAGTGCCCGCGATGCCATCCAGGAGTTGGTGCTGGGAGGGACGGAGCCAGGGCCCGAGGACACACACGGGGGCGGGAGACGGGAGAAAACCAGGACACCCGGACCCCCTGGGTCTGGCACCAGGAGAGGAGAGGAGCCGGGCTCACAAACCGCTGCTGGACTGCCGGCGCCTGTGGGCGGCGAAGACACAGCGCCACACACAGGGACACTCGGCCGCCAGCAGGAGCGAGGCGCCCGCCCCCGCCGCCCCGCGGACGGACCCCGGACACGCGCCGCTCAGGGAGGGACCCAGACACGAGAGGCCACGCGGGCTGGGAGTCCGCGGGTGTGAAACGTCCGGAACGGGCTCGTCCACGGACGGGAAGGGGGCTCGTGGTTGCCAGGGGCTGGGGCGGGGGTGACGGCTGACGGGGATGGGGCTTCTTTTCAGGGTGATGGAACGTTCTGGAACCAGACAGTGGTGACGGCTGCACAGCCTTGTGAAGACACAGACAGCCACTGGCTTGCACCCCTCAAGCTAGTAAGTCACACGGCGTGTGACGTCTCTCTGTAAAGCTGGTATGAAGCAAAGGCACAGGCCAGCCGCTGTCCACGGCGCGCTCCTCCAGACTCCCTCCGCTCCCTTCCCGTCGCCTGACTTAAGGAACAGAAAGACAGCAGAGCCCTGAGCGCGGTTTCCTAGTTACGCTGCGTGACCCTTCGCCCTCGCCCTCCGAAGCGGCCAAAGGGCCAGCCTGAAGCTCTCTGGCCCTGGGCAGCCCCCCCACCGCACAGGTGACCGCCGCGGGTACGGAGAGTCCTCTGGGAGCCCAGCTGGCCCCCCGCGCCCCCCCAGCCTCCCGCTCCCTCCTGCGCTGCGTGTCGGGACTGAATCCGGCAGACCAGCCGAGGGGGTCTGACTTGAGTCAGTCTCGGTTTCCGAACGGCAGAGCCTTCGCCCAAAGTCCAGGCGGTGGGCCTATGGGTGCTCACTGGGCAATCCCCGTGGGCCTCTCTCTACATTGGAGCGTTTCCGGAATAAAGTGCTGGAAAAACCATCCAAACGACAGTTTGGCCGAGAGGTTAGTTTCTAGATGCCCCACAGCTGGTTAACACGTGCAGCTGCCCCTGGATGGGACCGTGTCTGGGCGGCCGCCCCCATAAGCCTCAGGTGCCCAGGACACCCCGTGGGGGACAGGACCGGGTCTGGGGGGCCGTCCCCACAAGCCTCAGGTGCCCCGGGATACCCTGGACGGGTAACACTGCCCGTCCAGTCCAAAGTTCCAGATTCAGGCCGTACCGCTGATGGGGCGTCCAGGGGGTCTCGGCCGTGGTGAGATGCTGTGAGGCTCTCCTTCTGCCCCGTCAACCATGGGCCGGCCAAATATGGTCTCTAGCTCCTTGGCATCCGGCGGGGGGATGGGGTACCTTCCGATGGACAGCTCCACCAGGGACAGGCCCATGCTCCAGATGTCTGACTGCACCGAGTAGTGAGTGCCCTGCAACCGCTCTGGCTGTCGGGGGAGAAGGAGCAAAGAAACGC